CTGCTGTCTCCTTTCTTTGTCTCTTTTATCTCTCTGCTGTCTCCTTTCTTTGTCTCTTTTGTCTGTCTCCTTTCTCTGTCTCTGTCTACTGTCTCCTTTCTTTGTCTCTGTCTCTGTCTCTGTCTGCTACCTTCTTTTTTTTGTCTCTGTCTCTATCCTCATATTTTGTCTCTGTCTCTGTTTGTCTCCTTTTGTCTTTGTTTGTCTCCGCTCATATTCTTTTGTCTTCTTTTGTCTCCTTTTGGCTCCTTCTGTCTCCTTTTGTCTCTCTTTTATGTCTTTCTTCTTCTATTGTCTTCTTTTGTCTTCTTTTGCCTCCTTTCTGTCTCCTTTTTATATCTTTAATTCTCTCAGTATCTTTTTTTGTCTCCTTTGTCTCTTCTTTATGTCCTTTTGTCTTTCTTCTGTCTCCTTTTTATGTCTTTCTTCTTTGACTGTCTCCTTTTGTCTTTCTTCTGTCTCCTCTTTGTCTCTTTCTTCTCTTATTACTGTCTCCTTTTGTCTTTCTTCTGTCTCCTTTTTATATCTTTCTTCTCCGACTGTCTCCTTTTGTCTTTCTTCTGTCTCCTTTTGTCTTTCTTCTGTCTCCTCTTTGTCTCTTTCTTCTCTTATTACTGTCTCCTTTTGTCTTTCTTCTGTCTCCTTTTTATGTCTGTCTTTAGGTCTTTGGATTCATTTATTGGCCGCGCTGCGCATATTCAATTTTTAGAGAATGAGTGCTTTATGCGTTTGCTGTTCTTTGCAAACCCTCACTTGTTTAACTAAACCCTAAACCCTAAACCCTAAACCCTAAACCCTAAACCCTAAACCCTCATGCAGAGAGACAGTCTTTTCTCTTTCTGTCTCTTAGGCGCATTTTCTGCAACAATAACACAAACATATTCTCACGGTATACACCTTATAACATTTGCATGAACATATATATATATATATATTATATACATATCTATGTTTATATATATATATATATATATAAACATGCTTTAATATATATAAAGGTGTATGTATATATATATATATGTTATATATATATATATATTCATACTACATGAATGCATATATATGTATATATTACATGTACAGTTTATATATATATATATATATATATATATATATATTCATTGATAACCTGCACGCATACACAAAGATGTATTATGTATAAGTATACAAATATAATATAATATATATATAATATAATATCTATCTGCACATATATATATATTTATATATATATATATGTATATATATATATGCGGATGTTTGTATCTGCATGCATGCATTAATATCTATATTGATGTATTTGTATGTAGGTGCATTCATTTTCGTGTATATGTATTAATAACTATATATATAATATATATATATATATATACATATATATATACATATATATATATATACATATATATATGTATATATATATATGCATATATATATATATATACGTCTGTTTATTTAGATTTTCATGTATGTAGTAATACTTAGATGCATGCATTTATGTTTACATGCATGTAATAATGCGTGTATATATAGGTTATATATATATAGGTTATATATATGTATATATAGGTTATATATATATATATATGCTGTATACATGCATATATATATATATATGTATATGTTATATACATATATATGTATATATATTGTATTATAGATAGAAACATATACTTAATTGAGCATATATATATATATGTATTTATATGTATATATATATATATATATTTCGATGTGTGTATACAAATATATTGATATCTGTCTGCTTAATATATATAAAATATAAAATATTATATATGTATATGTTTAATAGGTATAAAATATATATACGTGGCTTATACATACATGTATATACAGATACATATGAATTATATATATAATCTATATATATACAGATATATATTATATATATTATATATATACAGATAAATATAAATTATATACATATATATATATATATCTACAGATATAGAAATAAAAGTTGTCTCTGCTGGGGTTGGCAGCAGCGGAGTGTACGTACACCTCGTGGCTGCATGCATGCAGACCCAGCCGTACATCTTCTACGAAGGAAAGAGACAAAAGAGAGACAAAAGAGAGACAAATATCTGCTGCTTACTCGTCTCTCTCTCCCTCTCCTGCCTACAAAGCCCCTGCTGCTGCTGCAGCAGTAACTGCGGCAGCAGTAGCTGCAGCAGCAGCTGCAGCAGCAGCTGCAACAGCAGTAGCTGCAGCAGCAGTAGCTGCAGGAGTAGCTGCAGCAGCAGCTGCAGCAGGAGGGAGAGAAGGGAGACAGACTGTGGTTTGGGGTTGAGCAGTGCATGCGCTGTCTTCAGGCTGTTGATCTGAATATCTTTTTATTATTTATTTTATATTTATTTATTTTACTTCAGTGTTCTCTTTGCTATTTATTAACTTTATTATTATTATTATTGTTATTATTGTTATTATTAGAGAGCTGTCTATTATTTTGTTTTTATTAGCAGCAGAGTATTGATACAATTAAACAAGAAAACACAGCAGCAAACAAAGCAGACCCGCTTGTTGCAGCCTGCAGCAGCAGCAACAGCAGCAGCAGCAACAGCAGCAGCAGCAGCACAAGCAGCAAGAGCAGCAGCAGCTAAGGGAGGCAAACATATCAAACTAAAACCTCAGTATTTGGCTAGTTGCTGCAGCAGCAACTGCTGCAGCAGCAGCAAGCAGCAATAAATGCTGCAGCAGCAGCACACTGCTGCTGCAGCATTTATTGCTGCTGCTGTAAACTGATGGGGTAGTTCGTGCGGCAGCAACTACTAGTTGCTGCTGCACTAACAGCAACATCTACTGCTGCTGCTTGCTGCGCTGCAGCAGCAGCCCTTGCTGCTGTTGCGTTGCTGCTGTTGCTGCCGCAGCTCTTTCTCTTAACAGCAGCAGCAGCAGCAGCAGAAGCCGCTGCTTCTTGTTGTTGCAGCAGCTGCCCAAATACAGCAGTTGTTTCCCCAGTTCCTGCTGCTGCTGCTGCTGCTGCTGCTGCTCTTAGATATATCTATGTATAACAGGAGGTCTGTTCACCTGCTGCTGCTGTTGGTTCTGCTGCAGCTGTAGCTACAGTGATGTATACCAGGCGGGCAATTCACGCGTTGCTGCTGCTGCTGCTGCTGCTGCTGCTTCTGCTGCTGTTGCAGTTGGAGTTGGGCGTACCAGGCTGGCTGCCCGCACGTTACTGCTGCTGCTGCTGCTGCTGCTGCTGCTGCTGCTGCTGCTGCAGTTCAAGAAACCACTTGGGTTCCTTAAGCCAGTTGGGTTTGTTAGAGATGGTTGGCGTTGGCATCATCGCTGGAGGAAGTATGTCTTTGACCTGCCTATACACCTCATCACGACAAAGCTGCAGCTCTTTTACTAAACGACTGCAGAACCTGTCTCCTTCTTCTTCTTCTGCTGCAGCAGCTGCTGCTGCTACTGCTGCGGCTGGTAGTGCTCGTGCTGCTGCTGGTGGGGATGGTGTTCCTGGTGTGTGTGCTGCTGCAGCAGCAGCAGGAGTAGCTGCAGCAGCAGCAGCAAGAGGGTATGGCTTGTCTTGAAGGTGCAGCAGCAGCAGCAGCTCGTCATCGCTGCATTGCTGCCTGAAGAGCTTAGCAAAATCGAAGCACTTCCATCCTTGTGTCTCTTTACTTGTTTGCTGCATGTGCTGCTCCCACAGTTTGCTGCTGCTGCTCCTGCTGCGCTGCTGCTGCAGCAGCAACCCCACCATCAACACCCCATTAAACACCACAGACCCGAATATTAATTTGTGTGGGGTCGGTAGACAGGCCCAAGCGGACCTTAGACCCCGCACTTGCTGCAGCAAACCCATCTCCTGCTGCTGCTGCTGCTGCTGCTCCCGCCGCTGCTGCTGCTGCTCCTGGTGCTGCTCCCGCTACTGTTGCTGCTGCTGTTGATCCTGCTGCTGCTGATCCTGCTGCTGGTCCTGCTGGTGATACTGCTCGTCCTGCTGCTGCTGCTGCTGCTGCGGCTGCTGTTGCTGAGACGGGCTAGCTAGCAGCTACAAGCTTGCAGCCGCTGCTTCTTCGCAGCATTCCAAAGGCGCATGGTAATGCAGCAGCAGAAGTAGCAGCAGCAGCAGCAGCAGCAGGTGCTGCTGCTGCTGACGCAGCCTTCGAGATGCGCCGCTGTAGGGCTCTGGGAACGAAGTCAGAGACCTTGCGGTTGCTGCTGCAGCCGTTGCTGCTGCTGTGTGTGTGCTGTAGCTGGCGGCTTGCTGCTGCTGTTAATGCCGCTGCTGCTGGGGTGTCTCTAGGCAGCCAACGCCAACAGCAGACACATGCATTTTAAACTATTAAACAGCAACCGCAGCAGCAGCGGCAGCAGCAGCAACAGCAGCAGCAGCAGAAGAGCAAGAGGCTGCTGCAGACGACAAAAATGTATCTGTCTAAGTTTAAATATAAAAAATAATATTTTTAACAGTCTGTCTCTGCAGAGACACTAAAACAGTTGAAAATATATATAGAAGGGTCCTCTGAGGCTGCTGCTGCTGCTCTTGGCAGCAGCATGCAGCAGCAGCAGCCGCTGCGGCATCAGCAGCAGCAGCTGCTGCTGCTGCAGCCACTGGCGCAGCAGCAGCAAGAGGAGGCATCACAAACATCCGCTATTTTCATCTCACTTTTCAGGGGTAGATACACCGCAGCTTGTGCTGCGTCTGTCTTTCCTTATCAGCCGCAGCAGCAGCAACAGCAGCAGCAGTTGCTGCAGCAGCAACAGAAGCAGCAGGAGCAGCTGCCCCTGCTGCGTCTGCTGCAGTGTCTGGCTCTCGCTTGTTGCTGTGCTGCTTGTTTGAGGGATTTTAATTCCAGCACTGGCACTGCGTTGCAGCAGCAGTAGCAGCAGTAGCAGCAGCAGCAGCAGCAGCAGTGGGCGCAGCAGCAGCAGCAGAGCCGCCACCATAGGCTGGCAGGCGTTGGATTGCTTGTGCATCTGGCGCCGTTGCAGCAGCAGCAGCAGCAGCAGCAGCAGCTTGAGCAGTAAAC